GAGTTTTTTTTCTCTTTTTTTTTTTTCTTTCTTTTGTCATTTTAAAAAAATATACGGAAGTTTTCTGTAATTAGTTACCTCAGCCTCGAAGCAAGTTTTTGTAGCTACCCATTAAAACAAATCAATGCAAATATTTGTAATGCAGATCATGGTTCCATACAATTACACAGAGTTCATCGATGGCCTTACCTCATTAGTGAAGAGACGCGTTATCGACCTTAGCCGAATAGATGATGCTGTGAGAAGGATTCTGAGAGTCAAGTTCGTGATGGGTCTATTCGAAAACCCATTGGCCAATTATAGCAAGATCAAGCACCTGGGAAGTCAGGTGGGTTAGATAAATGCAGACAGAATATACTTTGATAACAGATTTTTTTTTTCTTTTTCTTTTTTCCCATGAATAAATGTTAAAAATTGCATTCTCTCATGCTTAACAAAAACAAAAAATTCCACAGGAACACAGAGAACTAGCAAGGGAAGCAGTAAGAAAATCACTCGTGCTGCTAAAGAACGGTAAAACTGTAAAGGAAAAATTGTTACCACTTCCTAAGAAGGCACCAAAGATTCTTGTGGCGGGAACTCACGCGAACAATATCGGCAATCAATGTGGCGGCTGGACAATCACATGGCAGGGACTTTCCGGCGATATTACAGCCGGTAAAGTAAAAACCTCATCATCTTCAATTCTAANTTCAGTCCTTAATAAAACTTAACTCGGGTTTTTTCTTCTTATGGTCAGGCACCACAATCCTGAAAGCCATCGAGAACACAGTCGATCCCAACACAGAAGTTGTTTACAGCGAAAACCCAAAGACCGATTTTCTAAAATCGAACGAATTTTCGTTTGCAATTGTCGTGGTAGGCGAGCCACCGTATGCCGAAACATTTGGAGACAGCCTAAATCTGACACTTCCCGAAAATGGAATCAAAATTATCGAAAATGTTTGTACCTATGTGAAATGCGTAGTTGTTCTGATTACAGGTCGTCCAGTCGTGATAGAACCATATTTATCAGAAATCGATGCTCTTGTGGCAGCTTGGCTACCAGGGACAGAAGGCCAAGGTGTTGCTGATGTGTTGTTCGGTGACTATGATTTTACGGGGAAATTGGCTCGTACGTGGTTCAAGACTGTTGACCAGCTGCCGATGAATGTTGGGGATAAGCATTATGACCCGTTATTCCCATTTGGATTTGGGCTCACCACGAAGAAGGGCAAATGAATTTGAATCATGGTGTTTGAGATGAACTTCATCTTCTCTTCTTTGACCCATTTGATTTTGTTTCCAGCTTAAGTTCCACCTTGGTCTTTTTCTTGTGCTTCATCGGGATTTTTGGAAATGGAAGCCCTGATCAAAATAAAAAAAAAATAACAAATCTGCGAATGTGTGGACTTAAAGATCTTGTTTCAGCAAAACGCGATGAATTTATTTATACACAGCATAAGTTAAATAAGCATAAATAGGAAGTGTATGAGATAACTTCTGTCTGTATAAATTATGAAACATAACATCAATGCTAAAATATCAGCTTGTTGCAGGAAAATGCAACATATTTATTGAGCTTCTCTTATTATCATACGAAAATAAATTTAAAGGGACTGAAAATTACGATTACAGAAAAGTAATATTGCCTCAGACAATCCCCCACCAGCAACAGGAACGTTGTATAATCTGAGATAAACGGAAGTATACCCTTTCAGAGTTCAGACAAATGAGCCACCTAATATTCTTTCTTTCTTTTATAATATGAAAAGCATATACATTTTTCGAGCAGATAGATTAAACGCCAAAATCCAGATTCTTTTTGGCCAAAAGTATATGCCCGAATAGAACACCCAACAAAACCGAAGTTTCCATTTTCTTTAACAAGAAATATCAAGTCAATAATAACATCACAAAGCAACTCATAAACATACAGCATCTAAGAAGAATGTAGAAACGCAAATTCTAAAAGCCCACTAAAAAAAGCACTAAAAAACGATACTTCAATGAATTATTCACGGAACCTGATCATTTTATTTTTTTCCTTTTCGAGACTGAAGCGATCCGAGTGAAAGACGCATGTCGTCTCCGAGAATGGATTGGGACGCCGTCATTTAATCAGTTATCTCAGAAAAAGGATTTCGCGGTATCTAATCCCGGAAGAATAGGTTGGAATTGGGCTTTTGTCTCCCAAACCAAAGGAGCCCTCAAATATTTGACGAACTTTCCTCCTGCCGCCGTGGTGCCTCCTACCGGCGAGGCCGGACGTGCCAAAAAAAATTAAAAAAAATATATATATTTATAAAGTAAAAAAAAATTAAAACATGATCAATCTCCAATGTCTTGATGATGTCATGATATTTTTTTGGCATTTTTAAAATTTTTTTGACGGTCAAGCCGTATAAAATCGAGAGAAAAAAAAAATAGAGAGAAATAGTTAAGGGCAAAAACATAATTGGAAAGACGGTGAGTAATAATATGGGCACGGTGAATAATAATTCAGATATAAAAATATATTTTCAGAAATAGATAATTGTAAATTAAAATGATATAATATAAAAATAATTAAAAATTAATATAATATAAAATAGCGAATATTAGTTTACACTGATTGGTGGTTAAAATAATAAATATTGATTAATAGTGATTTATAATTAAAATGAATAAGTGAGGAATGATGCATTGGACTAAACTTTTTAATCAGTAATAACCCCCAAAAAATTGTATATTATTTTAGAAATTCTAGTTAGAGCATCTCCAATAGTCTAATTGATTGTTCTTTTTTATTGCCACATAATAAATCTCATGTGGCATTCAAAATGTCTAGAAGTCTTTCTAAACATAAAAGTACTTCTAGACACCATCTATTATATATTATATTATCTATATCTATATAAAGAGGTTGTTAGAAAAATTCATTAATAGAAAGTTTGACAAAATAAATATAATATTTGACTTACTATTAATGGAAAGTTTGAAAAAACACATGTGAATCTTTAGTGACAAAATTTAAATCCTATTTTTTGGTAACAAATTTGGAGATTCTTATGACAAAATTTGAATCCCATTTTTTTCGTATCATATTTTATTTTTTTACTAAAATATAAATCATATCTTTTTTGTAACAAATTTGGAGGTTCTTATGCAAAAAATGTGTCAATTATTTATGAAAATAATTCTAAATACAAATTAATTTAAAAACCGTAAATTGGATACAAATTTAGGAAGCAAATAGTTGTATAATTATTAACAAATTCTTCAAATCTTATTGAATAATTTTTTCTTTCAAAAAATTTGTGTAAATTGGATAAAGCCATGTGCAATTTTTATTTTTAAATAAAACAGATATTTGGATGGGATGTACATCTAAAATTGTGTCCACATTTTTTAGTAACGAAAACGGTTCATCATTGATATTTAAAGTCACTTTATCCAATTACTTAGGAAAAATAGTGTGCAACTTTTCAAAATTTAAATGCATCGATTTTTTTGGATTCTTATGTTTTTTTCTTAACCATGTTTTACCAAGATTTTGATAAATTTATATCATTTTTTTTTTGTTAAGTTCATATAATTTTATTTAGGAAAGAGACAATTGGATAAATATTAATAATTTATTTTAATTTTTTATTAGTTTTATTTTCAATTCAATTTATTTGGTACAAAAATCGGTGCAATGTTAAGAAAATTTGGTTGCATTTTTAGGAAAAATTGATAATTTTTTTATTGGTTTAAAAAAAAATTCGGATCAATTTGTTTGATAAAAAAATCGGTTTATTGGTAGGAAAATAGGTTTCATTTTTAAGAGTAACTAATGATTCTTTTTAATTTTTCTTAATTGAAATTTAGAATTAGATTTAAAATAAATAACGGGTGAAAGTTCTTTAAAAATTTTACTTTTTTTTTCTGTTTTAATTTTGTTTAATATATAAGATCCTTTAATTTTTTTAAAATTTGTTAACTAATAACTAATAATATGCAATTTTGGATAAATTCGAAAACACCTATGTAGTACTTTACGTACCAAAGAATCAAATCGATAATGTTGTACATAAGGAAGTGTTTAATAACATACAAAATTCATTTTCATGAAATTTTTAATGGCATGAGACAATTTAAATACAAAATACATTTTAAAAAATAAACAGGTAATAAATGCTCATGTGCATCGCACGGGTACCGTACTAGTTTATTAGATATATATATCATAATCAATAAATTATAATCATACACATGTCAAATTATGCTAAAGTTGACATTAACTATTGCAGACAAAATTTTGTAATTTTCTTTCTCCATATTATACATCTTACAATGGTCTTAGTCATCATAAATATATACAATCCCTCTATATATATTATAATTATTAAATGTATTGAGCCTAAGTGGCAGACTTGTATGTTTCGGAATCCTACGTGGTTTGTAAGTTGTTTTTGTTTGACTTGAATGAATTTTAATTTATTTCCAACCAAAAGTAAGTATGAATAGAATTTCACAAACACACACACACACACAAAAAAAAAAAAGAAAAAAAAAAGAAAACGATAATCGAATCCCAAAGTTTTTATCTCAATTGAATTTTGTGACTGTCAACCACTATATGCATGGTAACTAAATATCATTCATCGGGAAAAGATATAGTTACGTAAAAACATATAATTTGGTGAATTATAAATAATATCATAAAAATAGTTTTTTAAACGATAAAAATAAAAATTATCATTTCACATTCAAATTGATATAAATTGTTGTTCCTCACACATAAAATCATTATAAAAATTAGATTTAATAGAGAAAAATAAATAATATCATAATATATCATAAATATTAGATACTCTCATTTTTATTCAACTAAACGTTATGAAGAAAAAAAGAAAAATAGTAGCGAAGAAAAATCTTCATAACATATTGAATTTTTTATAGTTTATCACCAACTCTAGTGATGTGTTCATGTTGATCCGTATGATCGTATCCGTTTATCTTCCACTCCATATTAATATGAATATTAATATTAATAGTAGTAAATTATCCAACTTACACGTCACAAAAAATCAGCACCTGGCAGAGACAGAGGCCTAACACTTGTCCTCCATGCAGCAAGACTCAAAAAATAACGGATTACTATAAAGTTGATTTTTGTGTAAATCAATCGGAGCATAAGTTAATCAAATAGTGGGCTTTCCAAGGTAGCAGCCTTTTTAGAGCATCATAGATGGAGGAGCCAAGCGGCGGCGGAGGAGCAGGCAAGGCGGAGTCGATGAACGTGCTTGTGGCCATTGACGACGGCGAGGAGAGCTTTCAGGCTCTCGAGTGGGCCGTCACCAGAATCTTGAAGCCCAACGAAGGAGATGATGATAATGCTTCTATAGTGGTCACTATAGCTCATGTAGTCGAGCCTCTGCCTCACTATGCCTTTCCCGGTGGATATGGTTTTTTTTCTTCTTCTATCCTCCACATCTATATAAATCACAACTGCGAATTTATATTTTATTTTTTTTTAGAGGAAAAGAAACTAATTTAGGGTTAGCAAGATCGAGCCGAAATTGAAAAAATAAAATCGGCTGCTAACATTATTTTAGGTTTTTTTAGGGTTAATTATATATATACGTTTGTTATGTGTTCGCGTTGCGATTTGTTTAGTTTTTACAAATTTGGATTCTGCCGTTCTCGATTACGTTTCGATTATTTATGTGCACAGTTTGATTTTTAACGTTTTACGACTTCAGTTTTATTGAAATTATGGCAATTTTACAAATCAATAGTGTTGGAGTCTTCTACCAAAGCACAAGAGCAGAATGCGGCAAGAGTCCTTTCCCGGGCCTTTGAGATGTGCAGAGACTATGGGGTATTGTGACAAAAATAAAGTAGCCCTTTTTTCCTCTTAAATTAAAAAATGAATCTTTGATTATTCACGCACGATTGTTTTGGTTTTGGTTTTGGTATGTGACGATAATGTTATAGTTGAACGCCAAAACCGTGATTTTGGAGGGCGACCCGAAGGACAGAATTTGCCGTGCCGTGGAGGAGATGAACATTCATCTTCTTGTTGTTGGGAGCCGTGGACTCGGCCAGATTAAGAGGTTGGTTGGCTTGCATACTTCTGATTGCTAATTAATGAATTCGTTTATTGTTTGATTAATTAAAAATATATTAATTATGTGAATTGTGGTAGATTTGGTGTGAATAAATATTTTTGTCAGGGCGTTTTTGGGGAGTGTGAGCGACTACTGTGCCCACCACGCGAAATGTGCGGTGCTTGTGGTGAAGCCACAGCCAAAGAAGAAGGTGTCCTGAGGAGTACGAATTGAAGATACTATGTATATATGGGTGTAATTGTGTATGTTTGTGAGTTAAAAAAATACATTTTAGTAAATAAGTGTGTGGCTTTGTGAATTCGGTTCACTAGGTTGGATTAATGTCCGAGCATGTATCCATTGATTATTGGCAACCGGACTCCGACTTGAGCAGGATCCAATTTCAGCTAATTAGATTGTTTTATTGTCCATCTCAGACTTCGACTCAGAGCATGATCTAGGAATGGGTAAATTATTTTATTGTTCATCCGTCGGCCTGACTAGTGCATGATCCTTTAGAAGCTGTTGAAATACATTACGAACTAAAGGGGTTGAAATACATTACGAACTAATTTCAGTTGTTGAACTAAAAAGTTGAAAATTATAATAGAACTGAAAAATAATTACGAACTTGAAAACGGAAAGATTAGAAGTTGAAGTTGAGGCGAGTACTCTTTTTGCAAGGCGAATATGTTCCTTGTAGTGCTGGCGTGTCATGATTATACGTCTCCAAAGATATGACGATGACGATTGTCTTGAAATCTGTAGCACACGGACGATGACGATTGTCTTGAAATCTGTAACACACGACTCATGAGTTTCGATAAGTTGAAACGTAGTCGAGAACTGAGCACTTAAAATTAGAATGAAAATTATCTTTCTTTTGCTATTGATAATATATAATTTTGCTCCAATAGAAATATCATGTTATTATTTTTCCTCTTCTTTTTATTTCTCTATTTTTTTCTCTCTTTTTTTTTCTCGTCTTTCTACTTTCTCTTATCTCTGCAAAAGCGCGCGAGCACACATAGATACATATATATACATATCTAAACGAAGAAAGATGNAAACTATTACAAAGTCAGAGCAACACTCATATGTAAGAGTTGCTTTTCAAATTGTAAACATATTGATTGGGTTTGGACCATTCCAAGAAGCAAATTGATTGGTAGGTCCTACATTCATTTATTTTCTTTCAAAATTCTTACAATCTCCCACACGAGTGGAAATTAAATGTATGCACGTATACAGACTCTTACTTTTATATATTTTTAGAACCAATTCTTTAAACCCATGAATGATAAACATACTAATTACTATTTTAGATTATTTTATATATTAAAGGATATTAAGCCCTGCGCAACATCTTGATTGTATTGACATGATATTGAAAATTGTGGAAATATCATGACCAGCGGCAGCGGGAGCCAAAGCACCTAGATCGACGTCAGCTATGAATCAGTTATGAATATCATATAGAAGTCAAGCTCTTGACGAGATCTTGACAGTAGCAATGGATCAATTGACGGAAAGCTGCTCTAGAGAAGTCGCTAGAGAAAGAGTACTGATGAAATGACAGCCTTTTCTTCCCTTCCGAAGTCCGGGCGCTTGTTCTTTTGTTGTTTGTCGCATTTTTTATGACTTCACTTCGCCAATACTTTTGACTTCACTGCGCTTCGCTTCGTTCGTTGGGTTGAAAACATTGACTTCTCAAATCTCCGTCCCCCATTTCTGGTCATGGTCCTCTTTGGATCCTACAGTTATGGATCCATGCTGACTTTCCTCAGTTTGGATCCAATGAACTGAAAGTGACTTCAGGCTCTGGCTTCAAGGAGACTTTGTCTTGTTATGGAGATGGAAGTCTGAAAGAGCTGGGACGAAGCTGCTATACAGATTTTCATAGACATCGACCGTCGTACCCAACGAACGAAGCGAAGCGAAGTTAGGTCATAGAAAGAGATCGAAATCACTATAGATTTAGGTACATTCTGGCAAGAAGTTCAAGATGAACCCTACCTACCTCTGTGGATGGTATGCCCGGGATGGTAGGCTTTTGGATCGCATAAAGGCCAATGTTAATCCATATCCTATTAGACTGACTTGATCAACATCTCTTTCCTTTGTGGCCTCTGATTACCGTCCTCTATGACTTCACTTCGCTTCGTTCGTTGGGTCGATGTAATTGAGATAGAACACCTTTGGATTTACTGCTCTCCTTTTGTACATTTATATTTCATTATATGAATAACATGATGCTAGTTTCTATTTTGTAAATAAGTATTAAATAGCAAATTTAAGTTCATCTTTTATACGCAGTATTAACTTATAAACTTATTAATACTTTAAAAGTGATTATTTTTTACTTATACATACAATACGAGTGTCAAATCAATGATCGTAAAGTTAATTTAATATGATATATAAAAAGTGGATAAGAAATAAAAAAATTACTAAGCTTTTTAAGAAAATGATATAAATACTTAATAAGAAAAAAATCAGACAATAATTTGAAAACTAAATAGAAAAAAAAAGCATAGTTAGGAAATGTTCTCATCTATGCGTTTCAAGAATTATTTTAAATTATCCCCCTAATACATAATTCCCGCATGTGCTGAACCTAAGTGGTAGGCATGCTTCGGGATCCTATGTGGCAATATTCCATGCTTCAGTATTTAATTTAGATAGAATTTAACTTACTTCTAATCCAAAAATAATTAAGTTCGGACTATCCATAAATATGTTGATTGTTTATGGTCATTTTAGACGTATTAGTTGCATTTTGATATTAATTTCTATTAAAAAAATGAAAAACCCAAAAAAAAAATACTGTCTCTCGCCCAAATCCCAAATCTCCCCTCGCGTAACCTAGCTTCCAATTGCCGGCAAATTGAGCCTCTCTCGGCGGCCATCCGGCTAGCCGGTGGACTACTCACCGCCGAGTGTCCACGCTGCTTGTTGCGGCACTTCCACCTTTCTCTCTCTCGCCGTGGGGTGTGGTTGCAGATCTATGGAGGGTTTCGGCGAAATTCGTCGCTCGGTGATTTGGCCGCCGGAGCTTCAGGGTGGAGAGGCTAGGTTGAGTGCGGTACCAGTGGCTGGATGCGGCTTGGTTCGTTGCGTTGTCCCTGCTTCAGTCTCCCTCTTCCAATCTTTGTTGACGGCCGCATCTCCAATCTCTGTTGGGCTTAATGGTTTGGCAGCGGGAGGGCTTCGGCCTGTCCTCGGGGGATGGAGGGGGGGATTGGTTTCGAGCTTTGGTCGGAGCATCTCCTACTGCTGGGCTGGTTGGTCATCTCGGTTGCGGGTCTTCGGTTTTGGCCGGAGTCCGGTTTCTGGTTCCTCGGCTGTGCTGGGGTATTGGGTCGAGTTTTATCATTGTTGGTTGGGCGGGCAGGTGGTTGATTCGGGTGGAGTTGGTTCCGGTGGGCAGGGTCGGAGCAACCGAGCTCTGAAGTCGTTCGTTCCCTTCCTCCTTCTCGGCTTCTGAGTTTGTGGGAGGCCGTCTGTTTCCGAAGTTGGCTAGTGGTGTTAGGCAAATTCGGGACGGTTTCGGATTGGCTAGTGGTGTTAGCCGGTTGGGGGGCGATTGTGATTTCTTGCGGTTGGTGTGTGGGTCGGTTTCTTTGGTTTGTTCCGAGACTATGGTCTTCGTCTTGCTAGGCCTTCTGCAGTGGCGGGCGTGGTACTAGAGCTTTGGAGCTCTCCTCGGAGCTGGCTTTGTCTGCTGTCTTCTTCGGACGTCTCTGCTGAGGGGGGCTTCTTGTTTAGGTTTTTGTTTTATTTGTAGTTTTTGTTTAGGTTTGTTGCGTTGTCTAGGTCGTGTTTGTGTTATCAGTATTTTAGGTTTGGGCCGTTGGCCCCGGTTAGCCCGAGTGTGTCTGTATTATCCTGTTGGGACCGTGTTGACACCCGAGTTCGAGAGCCGAACCGGAGATCCGGTCCACTCAGAAAGTGCCGAGCTGGACCGGAATATTTTACGACCCAGACGTTCCCGTGAGTCCGTTCGTCAGTCCGGCGTTTGCGGCTATAAAGCATCGGTGCCGATCTGAGGAGAGACGGGCTGAAAGATAGGTTCCCCGGGGAAGGAGGAACAAGCAAAGAAAAGGTACCGGCCTGAAGTCTCAGGACGGGTCCTAACAATGAAGATGCCGATCTTAATAGTAGTATAATAAGGCCACTTGGAGGGTAATCATTGGCTGACGGATGAGACGTCCTAGCCTGTTGACCTACTTCCCCTAGCCAAGACATAAAGCCCGCCAGCATTAAATGCCTGTCAGACAATGATGAGGAAAACCTCAAATCACATTAAATTCTGTCAGGGAGGCGTCGAACCACTCTGCAAGAAACACTGTACGACAAGACTGGTAAACAGTGCCTGAACAGTGACACATTTAAGGCTACTATAAATAGCAACCCACTTCATTTATTTTGGGTTGTTGAATCTCAACTGTAAAGAGCTCTTTCTATATTTTCTCTCTCTAGACTTGTAAGAAATTCGTGTAATAAATCTAAGTATATCGCAAGTGCCGACCTCGTACGAGAGGCCGACCTCGTGATCTCTCAATAAAACCGCAATTAAACCGTATTTCCCTGTCTTTTCCTCATTCTCTTTCCATTACTTGACTTTTTAACCGTTGACCGGAAACGTCCGTCAACAGTTTGGCGCTATAAGGAGGGGGCCATAAGTTATTTGGTGTCAACTTTTCGATCTTGTAAAACTCCACACCACATCCATCTTGTTCCCACTTTTTCACTTTCTAAAGCAACTCAAAATGCCTTCATCTGGACATGACGATTCCACCCAGCAATCCGGCTCCCAGCCTCGCCGCCGCAACGGCGGGGAGTCCTCCCGTCGCGTTCAGCAGGGGCCCATCATTCCCGTTCCCCCAGTTCCTACCTTCGCTGCGGCTTTGCAACACCCCGACGTCCTCAAAGCCCTCGAGGGGGTCTTCGCCAAGGCCCTCGCCAGTCAAACCGCCGGGGCGAACACTGTGGTGCCCACGGAGAACCCCGGTAACACTTTACTCCACACTCCTGAAAAGGAGACCGGTGGACAGAGGAACCCGGCGAAGTCCAAAACCACGCCCAATCACCGAACCGCGAGGCTCAGAACCGCCGCGATAGGAGTACCAGACCGGCTCCCACAGAACAGACGGGGAGAGCCGGCCGGAGCGAAGCCTCCCGGTCGTTCGTCGCTCTGTCCACCAGCACCTGGGTGACAAGAGTCACGCCAACCATGATCTCCGGGAGGTGATCAGGCGGGGCAAGGCCATCGGCCACGACACTGAGGAAGTCGCGGCCCTCAAACGCAGAATAGCCGAGTTGGAAGGTCGGCAGCCCACCGGGAGTGAGTTTTCACTCCCAGCTCATCAACAAACCCGTACGCGACCGACTCCTCGGGTCGCGGATAACGCCTCGCCTCTTTCCCTCGATATCCTGCAAGAGGCCGTCCCGAAGGGAATACAAATACCCCAGCTCGGCCTCTATGACGGGA